TTTTTTTTTTTTCTGTGGGAGGTTATCTGGAAGGGTGGGAGTGTTGTGATATTGCCAGAGTTGTTAGGAACTTCCTGATAACCACATGCCAGAAGCATTCCGGATGAATGTGAGGAGGTACAAGGAATGGTATGAATTGGAAAGAATGTAGCCGGTTGTTGGAATGAGGACGAGGAATGGTATGGATTGAAAGGAATGGGGTCACTTGGTGGACTCGGATATCTGGTCGCTTGGATTCTTTGTAGTATATAGTAGTCATCTACTTCGGTGGTAGGAAGGAAGTGAATTAAGTTAATAACAAAAGACTTCACAATTCTTGCTCGCTCAAGATTATATCCTTCCCCGAAAAAGTGCCCAATTGAATTCTCCTCTTTACTCCACCTAAAATCTCCTTTCAACTTCACGAATCGGGAATCCGCACTCGAGTGACAACTCATGAACCAGTCGTCCGATGATATCGGGAGAAAACATGCACGAGGACTTTCAGCAGCTAGCCGTAATGTGATCAGTGGCGTCTGGGTTCTTCACTTTTATTCGTCTGGGGGGGGGGGGGGGGTCGGTCCGCTACCTGCCGTTACGAGTACCATTGGAGGAGGGGGGGAAAGGATTCACTTTGCTTTTGTGGAGGGGTTGTATGGGTTCACTTTTTTTTTTTTTTTGCACTTGCACTTGTTGACCGTACTCGAGTTATAGGGATGTGAGGTACTACTTGTACCTACCGTACTCATGCGATTTGGAGTTTTTTCTTCTTCTTTTCTTTGCTGGTCGGGTGTTGGTGTGCGGAGTACGGTACGGTAGGGACATCACCTTGACCCTAGCTAGGGAGTTCCACCCCCCCGGCGAAGTACTGCGCCGTACCGTGCACGGAGTGGAGAAGGTATAGTACGGTACGAGTACAGTACAGTATCAGTCATACCATGCTCGTGATAGAGCACATCGGCGGTGCTCCGAGTGGTCCGAGGAGTTCGAGAGCTGAACCTGACACAGTGTTCGTCGGATTGGACGGCGGGCAGACATGGTGAAACTGTGGCGTTTCCAGGAGGTTTGTGGTGGTGGGGGATAGGGCTGACGGCTAGAGTGAGTGATGTTTTGTGATGAGGGTTGGAGAAACCGCGATACCCCTTTCGTTGTATTACAGTGTCACATCGTGCTGGGAGCCCTTTCACGTGGAAAAAAAAATCAAGAGGGGATTTAGAAGCGGTCTTGGCGCATTTTCTAGGTTGAAAATTTTATGGGGAAAATCGGGTTTTAAAACCTACTCCCGTTATGTCTGGGTTTGGGGTGGTTTGGGGGCTGCTGAGACTTGGGTGAAATGGGTATACCGACTCTGGGACATTTTGAATATGATACATTGGGCTGTAACGGGGGGCTGGCAGACCGCTGTGAGGTGCAATCCCATAAAAAGTCCATTCCCTATCATATTTTTTATTCACTAGGTCTCGTGTACTCGAGTATACATGTGGTCCCATTTTGCTACGATGATAACGATATCAATCCGGTAATTCTGCAACGGTTTTTCTGCAGGAATAGTCTGTGATCCGGGTTTTTGTTCCGAACCTCAAATTTTTCCTAGGCTCCTGCGGGAAGTCCTCCAACTGGTGTACCCTACGGGTGTATGATAGGAAAAATTAGAAGTTTAAATACCGGATACCTCTTTCCCAGGAGCGGTTTTCCGGATTGTATCATATCATATATTAACTTTGGGCACATTTGATAATCTACAGATGCATTAATAGATAACTCGGGTACTGGCTTGACTATATCTCCCGAACCTTGCAGGGGAAGGCATACGGTAGTGCAGGTGCCAGATGGCCAAGAGGAACCGGGAGGGCGGTGACACCAAACGGTCTGAATCTATTGTAGACGGGTGCTAGTTCGCGATGGGCGTAGAGAAAGAGAGAAGGCTATTTAATTGTGACTAATTGTATAACCTATCCGACCTGCCGCAACGCGGGTATCGGTCCATAAACCCAGGCCCAGACAAAACTTCTGTTGAATCTCATCAAGAGTGTAAACATCCCTCACCGCCTAACTCATAAACGTGATAGTCTTCGTCGTCAAAAACTCCTCAATCCCCCACGAGCTCCCGAACCTCCCGAACCCACTCTCCTTGATCCCTCCATGTGGCAAGGCCGGCTCGTCGTGTACCGTCATCCCGTTAATATGAACAGCACTAACAATCATTAGTCACCTTTGAAGAAAAAAAAAAAGGGAGCCCCCCTCTACGACCAACTAATACAGAAGGATTATGATAACGATGTACATACCCACTCTCGATCCTCTTTGCAATCTTTAATCCCTTCGCCAAATCCATGGTCCAAACCGCAGCACTCAGCCCAAACTCAGTGTCATTCGCAATGGCTATCGCTTCCTCCTCAGAACTAGCAGAGATAACCGTAGCTAGCGGGCCGAACGACCCCGTGTGGTATAGTTCCATTTCTCTGGTCACGTCACGGATGATCAAGTTGGGGAATTTAGCCCTGGAGGGGATTTCTTTTGGCGGGTTTACGACTTTTGCTCCCTGGTTGACGGCGGATTCAACGAGGTTGTTGAGCTTTTCGAGTGCTCCCGGGGGAACTAGTGCTTGGGTTTCGCCGAATTTTTTGGTGGCTTCTGCTAGCTCAGTTATGAATTCTTCGAGGATGGAGTCCTGGACTATTATCATTTCGGTGGCCATGCAGATTTGGCCGGACTAGATTTTTTTTTGCACAGATGATTTAGTGAACTACAAGAGGTATAGTGTAGGGAGGGTGTGCGTATGTAAAAGAGCGCGTGTGCACGAACATGCAAATAACTTCCAATCACCGCTGCCCCGGCCGCCTTTTTGATATCCGCATCCGCAAGCACCACCATGGGCGATTTCCCCCCTAATTCTAGCAAGACTGGTTTCAGGTATTCACCCGCCTTCGCGGCGATCACCTTGCCTACGGGAGTACTCCCCGTAAAGCTTATTTTGCGGACAGCTCTGTGAGATATGAGAGCGTTCGCGATCAAGGGGGCATCTTCTCGAGCATGGCAAATGGTGTTGAGGACTCCCGGAGGGAATCCGGCCCCCTTAAAGCATGAGGCGAGGAGGTAGTGAGTTTTCGGCGAGAGCTCGGAAGTTTTGAGCACGACAGTATTTCCAGCTGCTATTGGGAAGAGAGCTGCCCGAAGTGAGAGGATCGTGGGGGCATTCCTGGATCCGGGTGTTAGCTCACGAGCATTTTCATGGCAAGCAATTAAATAAAGTAGATAGTCATCAAGGATCGTTACCAAGGAGCAATTGCAAGGACAACTCCATACGGCTCCTTCTGCACAAGCGCGGTCCTCCCTATATAGTCCAAATTTAAACCGTTAGCTGCAACCTTTCTTGTGAGGTATAAGATATCGATATTGATGCCCAGATGGGGTCTGCACACCCTCTTCCTCGCTCTCCGGAATAGTCCCGACAATCCTACCCACCCCGCCCGCAATTTCTCTCGCCAACTCAACTGTCTGACTGATGGTGAAATCCACCCAACCGCCAAGCGCCGCGGTCTCTTCTGCCATGCTATCCGCCAATTCCTGCTTCCTCCTCTCGAGGACCTCCACGAGCTTATATATCAGCTCGCGCCGCTTGACTAACTTTGTAGTCGACCACGAACGGAAGGCGTCACTCGCGGATTGAACCACGGCTTCCACGTCTTCGACTGTGGCTGCGGAAGCTTTCCATAGGAGGCTATCGTCAAGCGGGTTCTTGACGTCAAAGGTTTTGGGTGATGTAATTTCTTCACCGTTAATTAGGAATGGGACGGTGTATGCCATCTTCCCCGTTCTTTTTTTCGATTTGCTTTGCTCTGATGTGACGCTCTACCGAGATGTTTTGTGTTTTTTGTCTGCGGAATAGAATAGTAAGGTGTTTCGGTAAAAAGAGTCTATCGTGGTTGGGAGGGGGGCTTGCTTTAAAGCTGCCTCCTAGTGCCACATTGGGCCCCTGTTGACGGGTGATCCCAGAACCGGGGGCTTTGCGGACAGCCTGCACCAGCATCTCAAGCCATGGGTAGTCTAACCCCTGTATTACCAAGAATGCTGGCCAAATTTGTGGCTTTTTCCACAGCATTTTGTTTAGCTTTCAATTATGAATTCCCGCCGTAGAAAACATATATTTTTCGACTCCTACACTTGTAATAAATGGATTATTATTACTAGGGAATGAGCTAGATTGGGCGTCTGATATAATTGCATTGGGAAATGAAAAGAAAAAGAAGAAATCCGCGTAATATATCACAGCTGGTAAATATCTCCAACTGGCAGCTAAGTAATGACCTCATATCAAGAGTAGTCGTGTTCTCGTAATGTGATGTAAACCCAAGATATGCGGTGAAATATTCAGACTACTATTCTCGATATCAATACCATGGAAATTCGAATAATTGAGCCGTGTGCTATGCCGTCGGGCCCTCCCCTATCAGTAAGTTCTGGCGATTTATTTTCTTCCTTTCCACCCCGAAAGAGGAGAGAGGGGCTGCGCTTTTGCTGTGTTACTCGCTCACTTTCTAGAGAAGGGAATTCTTGACTACATAGCACACAGCTCAATTATCCAAGTGTCCACAGTATTAGAAGCTGCAGCGGTTGTGGACTGTCCCACGGTCATGTCAGCATTGGTTTTTGTGGATCTCACAGGGCGAGGAGAGGGGGTAATTGGGAAAGATGCACCTTCTCTGCTTGTAATCGGCTGTGGGAAAAGCCCATTGGCCAATAAGTCCCTCAGTTCCCAATCAGGGGATCCTTCTGACTTCCACGTCCAGAAGAACCATCCATCCTTGAGCTCATATGCATCGAGTTGGGCTTCGATACTGTGGCGGCAACCCCATTAGAACAACGGACCGCTATTGATCGGCTGTGCTGGAAAACTTACAAAGCTCTTGAGTTAGCTTTCTCCTCTGCAGAGTAGGAGGCTACGGAGCCCTGGACACGATTCCCGCAATCGCCGATTTTTGACGGGCCCCCAGATAGTGTTCCTTCCCAACGGGTGCCACGCCCAACTCCGTTAAGCCATTTCGTGCAATCCGTTCGTGCAGCAGACCATCTATGGAGCTTTAGCACATGTTTGTAAACCAAATTAGGTTTGCAGCCAGACATACTCCCCGACAACTGTCAATTTATCAACACCAAGGAGGCTTCGCCCGAAGGAGCAAGCAGAGTCCACATGGCCCTGGGGGGATTGTTGAAGCTGACCACCATCGAATACTTGGTAGTGGTGAGTATCCATAAGAACGTGATCCCAACCGGTCATCACTCCGTTCCATGACTGTGTGTCGAAGAATGCGTCCCCGATAACAACAGAAATGTCACCGAATTCGCGGATGGTGCCCCACCCATCTGAAACCCGTCAGACATATAGCCGCTAAATAAGGACGAAGCACTCCACCTTTCCAGTACTGCTCTATCCTCCCACGGTCAAGACTCGGACCGAAAGCTTTGTTATTGATTGAAATTTAGTATGCGACTTTACTTCCGTGGGCGTGCCTGAGGAGTTCTTACGCTCGTTCAAGAGTTCAATCGCGGTGACAACATTATTGTACTGACTCTGGGTGTAGATTCGGGCTAGATCTCTGATCGCCTCAACCGTATGAGGCACGTTATCCCCTTGTTGCCACTCAATAGCACCACGCTTGCCGGAATTGTCGAATCCGTTCTGAGAGCCCGGGACTCCATGAAGATCAATCCAGACTTTCAGGCCGGCGTCCCCAGCCCAATTGATAGCGTTGTCGAGATGCTTTAGCTGACCCTGAACATAGGGATCATCGGGAAGGGGCCTAATCGCCCAGTACCCGATGGGAATCCGGACATGATTCAACCCCGCGGCCGCAATCTGTTGGAAGTCCGCGTAGGAGTAGAATGTGCTTTTCTATGGTTAAGTTTTGGGGAACGAAATTTGCATTGATACTGGGGAACCCACCTCCAATGGTGTTCGAGCATGGCTTGACAGGCATCCTTTCCGAGTCTTCCGCAGAGGGTGAACTCGTCGACCACACTTTCTCCGAAGGGTTCGAAGAGCGAAGGCGTAATCCAAGCTGGCAAGGAATAGATTTTAGAAAAGTTGAAACTCGGAGAAAAAAAATTCACCCTTGAAAACGGGGCGGATGGAAAGATTGACCGGGGAAACTCACGCTCTAACACAAACCATCCTCCGAGGTTAACTCCCCGAACCTTCACATTGCCGTAATCGAAAGTGGGGGCCCGCGTCCCAAGATCTCTTCTAAACCGGTTCCAGGGTAAAAAGGAAGTTTGAACCCCGCCTACCAACAAAGCCACGAGCACATGAAGACTCTTCAAATGCATGGTTGAAAGTGGCGATATATGCTTGAGCGACTAGAGCTTGTGCAGGCCGTTATAATTGCAGGCCGTATGATAGGATACCCGTAGGTCACCAACAATTGATCAACCGATCAGGTGGGCGGGGCAGGAATTTGGCAGGAAGGAGGTCGTGATTCCATTTGAAGCTCTCCTTGCGTCAACTTTATACCTCACAAGCCTCGATTCCAGCTCGCGGCGAAGCGGAATGGGAGGGGCAAGCAAGACTGCACAATATTCTATTCCGCGCTGCCTTTCCCTGTACCGCACTCCATTCCATTGTACTCGAGCACAGTCCACACATTAATGACGCACTGAAATCGCTAGTCCCTGTCTATTGAACATTTCTTCAGCCCCTTTCCGCTTAGCTCACAACAAGAATAATAAGGGAGCCGGCCCCATATCGGGGTTGAGTGGAAGGCCCCTGAGTAAGGTGTGATAGCTGGGAAGCTAGGATACTGTACAAGTACTCCCAAGGTTACTTGTAATTAATGGGGTTCAATTTCCAGGCGGCTACTCGTACAGTATCACCGCATTAGAGCCATGCGCATAAGGATAAGCTGTTGTGGGGTGTCCCACCCGGACATGGGGGTTGCTGCGATGGTAAATGATGCACAGCCAAGTTGCTTACCACGGTACTTGAAGCCCATGCAAGGTCAAGCATTCAGCCAAAGTGATAGGCTCGGTTATCCAGAGAAGTGAGGCCCCCTAACCGGAAATTCTTAGTTGACTGCCAGATTGAAGTGCGCCCGGAATCGCCATTGAGCACGGTGATTGGGAGAGTAGAGTTGGATGTTGCACATGCCCCCAGCTGTGATAAGCTTAATCCTATCCGTCTGCCGCCAAGGCACGGCACAGTGTCGGTACAACGGCCAATGTCTGAAAGGGTGGCCAGAGGGGGGCTGGCTGGGTTTGGAGGAAGAGGGGGGAGGGCCCCACCGTACGAGTACCGGTACAAAATCCACAGAGCCCTGGCAAAACTGTACTCGTACAGTATGAGGCGTTCGTTCCCCTCTGGATATGCTACCGGCACTTGAGCTTGGGAGGAATGCTTCACGAATACCGGTAAGCTCCTATCGCAAAGCCTTACCACCAGCCATAGCGCGAATATTCGGCAAAGAGAAGGCCCACCGGTACCAACGGATCGTGTTGATTATGGTAGCTCGATTAGAAGTACCGCCACTCGAGTGGTGTGCGGTACAAGTACCTACATTCTGCTTCAAATGTGCCGTTACTATATATATACTGCATATTCAAGCATCCGTCGGCTAGAGGATGTATGATATCTGAAATGCCTTATTGCAATTCCGCATGGAGCCGGCTTGAAGGGACCGCTGCTCTTTGCCCATCGGCTGCAGACAACGCCTAGTAGTGGACAGTACAGTACTGTGCCGTACAGAATACCGGTAAGATTCCGCGCTCCCACATTCAGTAGCCAAGTTCTCCACACGGAGCAGTCTATTAGTGTACTAGAGTGTTATAGGGCCAACTCATACTCCCCAATTCCATTCCACCTTGTGCTCGGAGCAGCCAAGAATTATAGGCCCTCATATAGGAAGGGATTTTTTCCCCCACATATTCTGCATAGTACCGTATCATTTTCGGGTGCTTGCATTCCCAAAAGAAACACAAGTGGGGAAGCCGATCCTCCCCGCACTGCTCAAGGATTGACCTGGTCGACCCCCCTCCCAAAAGAAGATCTTTGACGAGGTTCGTTGCTCCTTTTTCTACAGGAACGAATAGGAATACTTCGAACCGACAGAGTATTGTACTAGTACCGTACCGGTACTAGCGCTCGTACGGTACATATCTCGCGCCACTGTGCACATATTAACTTTAGTACCGCAATTTACCCTTCGCAACAGCGATAATCCTCTGGCGATGGCGAGCGTCGAGAGCGAGAAAGTATCCGCTCGGGCAGCTCAAGTCGAAAAGGGTTCATTGCAGGTCTGCAGTACCTTGATGGGATCGCTTCGCGTTGGCACATGGAAGGCTGACATGGGCTTCCTGACGCCCCCATGTACAGTACAGTACCGGTACGCCAGAAATTCAAGCCCCGAGTGTTGAGGTTGGTTAACTTATATTCAATAGACAATGTTATTTGCGCTCGAGTTTTGCTATGCACAAGCATATGCCGCAGAACGCATCGGCCGCCGCCTTACCACGCTCAGCCCAAGCCAGATACCGAAGCTGTATAAAAAATCGACTATAGTATGAAATCCAGAAGCCTGGCCAGATGCACCCGCTCTGAAAACCGATGTCCGAGCTCAGTGGGAGTGATAGGGAATATCTCCCTTCACCCGGGGAACGCGGAGACTTCACGGACTCCAAAAGCTTACTTCCCCTCCGAAAATCCGCGGCCTTAGTGGCCATAGGCTAAAAGGGGCCGTTGCCGGTACTTTAGTACTAGTATAGGCACGATATTATAATTAATTTAGTACCATTAGGTAGCAGGCCATCCTACCAGCAGTCGGTGAGTGAACTAGTAACTTATTCATTAGCCCGCTCCTCGTGACCACGGTGTGCTCGTTATGGTATAATTCTCTCATCTTTCTCAGGGCAGTAGGTTGATCCGGAAAAAACATCAAGTTATCCCTGAGAAGCCTCGTATATTCAGCGGCTAAAGGACATAAGTTATCGGCGGAGCTGGTGCAGTCCGGCACAATACTGCAGTGCAGCGACCTACGCTAGAATAAAGTCCGAGACTGGGATACCTGCGATAATACCGTTAGGCCTCGATCCTGGGCAGTCGGATGGGAGTTAACGGCCTGGATAGGTGCACTACCGTATACCAGCATCCACTCGACCGATTCGCTTGTGAGGAATTATAGCGAAGAACTAATCCTCGCAATATTTTCCTAGCTCGCCAATACTAACTCAGGCGATAGGTGAAATACGGTGAGACCTTTTTTGGCGAGCGGAAAGACCGGGAAGTTCAGCTGTTTGAGATTGAAAGGTTTTCGGAATTCAATATAAATCTATACGGTCCGAAGTGGCATGACGGGTAGGGCTGAGACTGCATAATACCGTCAGTATCATACCCGCAATGGTGTCCCCGGGTATGATAGGCGATTTATTGATTAGAGCTCCAAAGTTATGCCCAGGGTTTACGGTAGCTTTTAAGACAGATATTAGCACTAGTTAGAGTTTTTGCATAACATACATATAGCAAAATAGAGTCGGCCAACCGACCACAGGCTATAGTATTGCGGAAGTGGGACATCTCGGAACCTGTGTTGCTGTGGCGGATCGTGACGGAGTTTATATCCCGTAGCTTTGCCCATATCTACTCGAGTAAGCAACCGCCAAGTTTTACCACGCTTTATCTATTCCCAAGCATTGAACTACTCGTACCATATACTTTCAGCGAGCTAAAGAAACCTAGTAAGCCTCCCTCGCTCGCTAGGAAAGTAGCACTCATATTCTAGCAACAGGACTAAACTATTGTGTCGGTTATCCCTTGGGTGGTCTAAAACAGTGAAATTCGTAGCCAGGTGGATGAGTGACTTCGCCATTGTGGTCAAGTCACTCGGCCACCTGCAGGGTTTTTACTTCTACCAATGAGAGCTCAATTAAAACTGTTGGACAAGTCACTCATCCACCTGGCTACGAATTTTACTGCTTCTGACCACCCAAGGGATACCGACCTCTAAAACTGTACTCGTTGGTATTCAAAATGGACTCCCTACAAAATCCTAAGCACCTACTGCACTCCAACATGATATTCGACCTCGAGGAAATCACTTAGGATCACTCGGGACCCTGGCCGCGCTGTCAGCACCTAGGGTTCTATGGTGCCGAATGTTTTACTTGCCTTACTTGTGAAGAGAAATAATCCCACTTTGCTCCAACTCTGTCCACTCACGTTCAAGTTCCTGTCATTCGCACTACAGTTGGATTATAAGTTTAGCTGAGAGGCTTGCGGGCGGTCTACAGGTAGGGCAACAAGGTCGAGACTAACGCAGGTCCGAGTACATTTAGTATGGCTTAACTGCCGTACCGGTGGGGGGAAAATGTTATTCTTCCCAGAGCCTGAACAAGTATAGGGGTTTCACAGTGCGGGCCGGGTAGGGTAGGATCTGCGGGTGGTCGTCCTTGTTAAGGGATATGGAGGTGAAACCCCCTGTGAATGTATGATATATTACCTCTTACGCTAGCTTGCGCCTGACTTCAACATCTGCTGGCCTTCGATAAGACGAATTATGGCCTGGCAGTGATCCTACCAATTGCGGTCGTACCCCCCAGCTTCGCTTAGAGGGATGCGTTCCCTGATTACGGCACTGTTGGGGGCCTCACGGACTTTTAGTATCGTGCTTCCGACCACGCTGACCTTTGACAGTCAGAATTTCGCTGGCAAAAAAACACCAAAGACCCAGCATCCGTAGAAATCGTTCCTAAAAGTGTGAGTGATCTGATATGAATCGAAAAGTGAATCAAAGTGTCATGTTGACGATTGGGGAAAGTGGGAGCTTTTGTCCGGAATATAATATCCTTACATGAACTCTTTTGCAGCCTCCTCAGTAGGCTGAAATTGCGCCGAATGTTTTCGTCCAAAACAGGGCTACAATGCAGAGAAGCTTTTACTTCTATTCGGTTCAACTCCCTGTTGTAACGATAAATTTATTGTTGATGGCGGTGAACATGGGACAGCGGAGACAATTCCAGGAAGCCACACCAGTATCATATCCAAGCACACCTGCCAGACTAGAAACATCACGTCCACACAAGTGGTTTCCATCAAACTTCAAAGCAAACATGGACCCCCCCTTAGATTTGGATGGAGACCCCCCCGGCGATGAACAGACGAGCGCATCAATAGCGGCTACCTCGTCTAAAGAAACCCGCTGCACAATTTGGTATTAATTACGAAACCGGAATTAAGAGGTTGGTACTGTGGATAAAAGGACCACCTTTTCGCTCGGCCTACGGAGACAGATGTGGTGTTTCTGGCTGGACGAATAACCACATTTCACAGGAAACAGTGGGCTCAGCAGTGTTTGGTCAACTAGAGCTCAAACCAACCAGAATACGGGCAAGTGGTAAATATTAAAACGGGCGCAAAAGAACCGGAAAGGGATATTTAGATTTCACAGCCACTTGGCCCAGAAAGTTATGATAGCATGGCGATTGGTTGATCCGCGATCTTCACAGGGATAACACACGAGTAGGGTACTCGAGTACTGTACGGTAAGTTATCTCGGGGGTTGGAAATCTATGATATGAGCATACCGGTAGACGTATACGGGTATATATGATACCGGCAGGTGGATTTCAATTTCTATGAGCACAGCCAAGCCATCCTCCACCGCAACAACGGCAAACTCCGGTCTCAGCTCACGTCACTTCGACGAACATTCCCCCTTTCCCTCCGGCCCGTTTCCCTCCCACAGCAAGCCTGCATCCCAAGGCTTACTCGAGTACTCGTACGGAGCCGTTGAAGAGGAGGAAAACCGGGCAAGCCACAGACGATAACGACCCCGCGGAAATTAATCCCTTGCTATCGTCGGCCCGACGGTGAATTCCCTGATGCGACCTTGACTCTTGAAGCCGGGACCCTATCGCACCGAATCGTGATCATATTGTGCCATCCCTTGATCCAAACTCCCTAACCATGGGCCTTTCCCGTTTGCCTTTCCGACGCCGTGGGGAGAGTGCAAGGGATCAGCCACCGCCACGGGCCCTTCGCTGGGCTCGCCTTAACGTACCTATAACTCCATACGACCAGAGTTCTTCTGGTCCGGGGGCGTTGATTGGAGGACGAGGGAACCATTCAGGGGGATGCGTCCATCACGAGCAGGAAAAATTCAAACATTGCGCGAATTTTCCGTCAATTGGGTTCTAGCGGGCCCCGGTCTATTGTTTGGGCAAGAGGATCCATGGCCTCCATCTCGCCACACTCGGGTAGACTAGACTTCTCCTGTTGGAATGATGTGTGATGTGATCGTCTTCCTCCTTCCATGCGGAGCCGGTACCGGTGCAGCATCATATCTGCAGCATCACATCTTGCCTTTTCGACACCACCCAACCATTCAATGTCGCACCAACCACCTAACTCGGATCCCCCCCTCCCCGCCTCCCGACACCCCACCACTCCCTCTCGCCCTCTTCTCTCTCCCCCGCAGACGCAACACATGCTCCATTACCAATGCGTGATACGTGTGCCTATGGGCTGACACGGCAAACATTTGACCGCGGGATTATGTTCTTTACTAACTGACCCCCTCCCAATCTCTTTCTCACCCGCGTCCTTGCCCAAATCCTCCCCACAAAGCGCTTCCCAAACAGGTTTTTAGCGAATCGACTCATACCCAAAGGTCATCTCTATCACCACCATGTCTTTTAGTAGACGGCTTCGAAAAGCCGTTTCGAAACTTAATTGCCGTCGGGGCTCGAAGTCTAGGACGGGAGCCGCTCCCGATACGACCCATCCATCCCAGTCTCTTCGGTCGCGGCCATACGAAACACCTGCCGGAGTCGGGGCAAGCGAAAGTCCCCAACCACCTTCCGCTGCCCGGAGCAGTGAGCAATATGCCTCTACCGGTAGCCCGACACCAGCGCAGTCAGAACCCGGTCAGGTGCACCGATTATCTGCCATAGGACCTGACCCCGAGCCGGAATACCGAAACTATGGGGAGAGCTCACTAGAGGAAGAGCAGACGTCGGAGGAGAACCGGCGGCAGTCTAGTCTATGGAGACCGCCAACAAATATCTCCACTTCGAGCAGTGATTACTCAAATCATTGTGGGCACTCGAGTTCAAATTGTGATAAATCTCGCTAACCCCTTCTCGTTCGGAATAGCGATCTCGAATTCACTATCCCCTGCAACACCTGTACCGTTGGTCGGACGAACCTTGATGGCTTCACACCTTGCTGATACACCTCCTCCGACACCACCCGACAGTTGTAACAAAGGCGATTCAGACCCCACGTGGGGAGAAGGTGTCATGGAGCGCAGAGATGCCCCACTGATACCGCACATGTCGTTTATTCAGCGAGGCTCACCAGTGCCAGGCGAATTTCGAACAGAGGCGACATTAAGCCAGCTACAAACTACCGGTGATGGTCGTGGATACGCCCATGGTCAATTCACCCCTCAAGATTCGCCTATAACAGGCCAAACGCGTATGTTGTGACATTCTCTTGCTGCCCGTATTTTTCCATACTTTTCGCAAGGTCCGCTCCGACAAGTATTTAACGTCGACTAGCACATGACATACCTGCCAATGCCACCTTTGAAACCAGCTACTCAAACAGTGTGTCCCCCAAATTCCAAATCCTCCTCTGGCTTAACTAACCCCACATCGCCCAGTTGTGACCCGCACAGTCGTCCACCCACAGGAGATAGAGCAGGTGACCGAGCCCTTGCATCGTGAAATCCACACATCAACTGTTGACATTCGTGTCCAGCCCGCGGTAGTGCAAGAATATCTGCCGATAAAAGACCACCTTGAGACACCTACCAACGAGGCTATTCAATCGACTAACGAGCAAACGCGACAGAGTGATTGGGGAGAAGCCCGGCGAGGCGAATGGGCCACCAATGGGGACGGCAGTCGGGAATTACGAACCCATGATAATGACGGTGGGGCAGGCCGCAAGGCTATTGACGATACGACTGGATTATTGGCTGGGCCGGAAGAATTAGAACTGACGGAAGTGAAGGAATTCGCGGCTGGGCCGAGCCACGCACCAATGGTTCCGTCACAATAATGTTGCTGACTGCTGCTGAAGAATTCGTGTAGGTGTGTGCGGGTTTGATTGCTTTTGGAATTGTTTTTTTTTTTTTAGCTTGCGGTTGGCCGGCTTATTTTTACCCTGTATGAACAGATTCTCTTTCCCGGATGTATTGGACGAAGGGGAGGCGGAAATTTTGATTTTTCTCGATAATGTAAAATATTAATTATGGAAGGTTTGGAATGAGATATCATACCCAAAAATAAATCAACTAATAAATGAAAAGGCTTCTGCCTACTAAAAGAAGATGGGTGGTTCGGTAGATGGTTTTTCCGCTCGTAAACACCATATCATATTCGGGGAGTCTAGTATCATACGAGTAGACTATTGGAGTGCATTTTGATTACGGCCCGTTCCCTGCAGGCAGACCACACCATCCAGACGCTTGCACAAATACGACCAATCAACCTCCCCGCAGCTGCAGTATTTGTCCCGACAGAAAACATACCGCAAAAACCGAAATAATCGAGAACCACGATGGGAACGTTAGAGTTGCCTCTCATATCATCGTAAGGTCTGCCGTTCTCACGGCTGAGGGCTGAAGTGGGGCACGCACCGCCGGCTGTATGATACCGAACGATATTCCCCCCCCCCCCCCCCGGCCCTTGCCCAATCCAAAAGGGAAATTCTGAACGTCCTACGTAGCGCCATTCCCAATTATTCCGAGGGGGGTTTTTTTTTTTACTTGTACTTGCACGGGTTATACCGACATGGCAGCGTACGGTAAGCACAAAGTATTAAATAAAACAGTCGGAAGTACCCAATCACAAGAATCAAAAAATCGAATTTTTTTTTCTTTTTTTTTTTTCTCTCTGTCCGAACGCGCCCGTGATGGGCTCTCCTCCGCTCGGATTTCGGATACTTTGTAACTGTACTTACGGGGCATTTGAAGTCTGTAGACTATCACACCGGTATTGTGTTGGAGACTCCGTGTGGCGTAGGGGGTGGGTTGATACCCTTAACTTGTACAGTACGATATTACCGCCCGGATGTATGATACCGTATAGTTGCGACATGGGTGCTGACCCGTTATTCGGATTCGAATTCATTTCGGTACTATACCGTGCTCCGCCGTCGTTGGTGGAGATTTGTCTGGGGGAGGGGAGGGGAGGGGAGGAAGGGGTGCTATTGTGAAAGTGAAAGTGAACACTGTATGATGCGGATGCGAAAGTGAAAGTCGGAGGAAGCTGAACTTGGTGAAAATATGTATTAATTTGCATCAGCGCTCAGGTATTATTCTTGCCCTTTGTTTCGTTGTCGCTCTGGTTGTATTGTGTGTACTGTACTAGTACTGTAACTCGCGAAGTACGGTAGCTGGGCTAGTTTACAGCGCAAGCACCGTCGAGTGCGGCGAGGACAGGATTATCACCGATACTTTGAAGTCGGCATCCGTCGGTGTTAATATCCGGTAGTGGTTCGGGTATCGGTATCGCACCAGTAACTGTACTGTACAGTACCTGGCACCCCGGACTCTTGGCAGTATGATAGGGGAGGGGTGAGCGTAGAAGAGGTCGTATGTAGGGGTTGAAGATGGGGGAAGCGAGTGATTGGTTGTGGAGGTCGGAAATTGGCGGTGGGACGATACAGTACCGTGAAAAAGTTCCCAGAGATCCACCATGATATCCCCGTCCACACTTGTAATCTCCAAGTTCTATGACAAAAAGCTTCCTACCATAGATATGTTATCGTTGTACAGTATAAAGTCGGCGGTCGGGAATTGTTGAATCAATGGTAGTTCTCTGGTATTTCGCGCACGGGTATCATACGGTACGCTATTCCGTCAACTCATCCGACCATTCCCAGCGCCATCTTGGAATCGCAGTCATGGAATCTCGTAGCGAGGCTCACACGAGGGTACAAGGGATTATGGGGTATGTCAGTACCGGTATTATAAACTCCAACCGAGGAGTGCTGCGAATAGATGGAGGAGGAGGAGGGTAGGATCTGATCGTTGGGAGCTGACTACCGTATGATACTCTCCCGGGACAAGAAGTACTGCACTGTATCCTAAAACGGATGTTCGCAAAGGTATATGGTAGGAAATAAAAAAGGGAATCCGTGTGTATTTGAGGGCCCATACAGAACTCACGAGCTCGCACTTTCGGATGCTCCGTGTCTGAGATGAGGATGGTAGTGTGATAGCACGCGGGAGCACTTCCTTTCTAGAAGCAATAAATAATATCGTATCATACTTAGGGTGGGTAGTGCTGTCACGCCCGTGTACTAGTACTAGTACAGTAGGAGATTCCCGTTACTCACTGTGCCCCTATCGGAAAGTAGAATCCGCCAATCTGGCAACTCCATCTACTCGAGTACAGTATCATAATCGGATCTCTTTCCAATACATGCCCTACACGCCCTGCCCCATAGCAATAGCAAGGAATTCTCAGATCTACGTATCATACAACCCGGCGGAATGAAAGGAGGGAGGGAACGTTTGAGTTATCGTTTACTAATCCGACTAACTTGATACCACCACGCTACCCGATTACAAGTACGGTATTATCCCACGGACGGACCCCCCGTTGAAGGGGAGTTGCATACCGCTTTAAGACAATTTCGCTATCTATCAATCCAATTACAGTACTAGGGGTTTAGGTTTGATTTTGCTGATTAATCACAGGTTTTTTCTTTTCTTTTCCCATGGATGCGAATGCTAGATTCGGAAGGTCGAGAATCTGCATGTCTCATCCGTTCATTCCATGGGATACAAGTACTTTTCACAAATTACGGTACGGGACTGAGCACGCCTAAGTAAGTATCATACATAAGTAAGTATGATATCGTATACACAGTACCATGTTAGCGGGCACGTAAGTGAGGCCATGGTACAGATTTCCATGATACCAAACAACGCGGCTAGAGGATTCTTGAATCTTGATTATATATATATATTCGAACCCGCCCTTCCCACATATCACACACTAACAGGCTCCTCCGATCAACTATCCCTATATACGATACCGGCATAGGGGTATGGACGATAGAGACTAGCAAACAGATCGATATCATACGCCTTCCACAGTCAAAGCATTCAATACCGCAAACCCTTAAAAGAGGTGAAAAAAGCAAACCCCATTTAATTTGGTATGATAGGAGATAATGGGATGGGTAAATTATCATAAGTAAGGGGCTTTAACGTCCCATCCGTCTCACCACCGACCACGAGCACCATACAAGTACAAGTGCGGGTGCGGGTACGGGTACTCGGGCCCAGCAACTGGGATATCCTACACCAAGACACCAAGCCATCCCGAGGCGTTTCAGGATAATTATTCTTCCACCTCACCTCGCTTCGCGCTCCCGCCCCCCCGCCAAAATACTCCGAATGGAAGTGGGGTCCCTGCCCACCGTCCCTTGCTTGGGGCTTGGACGTGGGGTTCGACGGCTTTTTAGCTTTTGGTCGGGTTCCCGGGGGTTGAATTGATTGCTGCTCCTGGTTAGCTTATGGTCGAGTTTTATGGGAAGGGGGGGGGGGGTTACAGGCGAGTGAGAAGGCACAACGTTTCGATTCTGTACTGGGTAGTCTGCTGGTGGTTTTGTTGGTGGTAGTGGGCTAATGGTATCATACGTCAAGTACCATATGTGGGGTGTATCTGAGCTGACTCGCCGGCCTCTGCTCTACAGAATTGCACAGTACAGCACAATCCTGTGCAGTGCTTTACGGATGGAGCAAGGGTACGTATTGTATCAGGAGACCTTGGGGATATATCCTCACCATAAACAAGATGTATAAATCCTACACCTTCGCCCCCCGACAATCGTCTGTTCCCTTTCACCTCACCAGCAAGTCAGCACCCGCCCCACACACTCTCTCCTTCTCCCCCTTCCATTCGTTCCAGTCACCAAGATCTTCTAGAGATCCTTTCCTTCTTTTTCACAAAAGTTTGAACACTTTTACTTCCACTCTTTACGTTTCCGGGAAACACCGCTCTTTTATTTTACTTCCCTTTTACCGCATATATATATATAAACAACTCAAATTCATTAGAAATGAAGTTCACTGCGGTCCTCCTCCTCTCCCTCCTCCCCTCGGCACTCACTGCCCCCGCATCCACTCGCCGCAAGCGTGCCTCACTCTCTGAAGCAGCGACAGTCGGCTATGCAACGCTGAATGGCGGTACAACCGGCGGTGCGGGCGGGTCCACTACCACCGTCTCCTCCCTCGCCGCACTCAAGACCGCAGCAGCCAAGAGTGGGGCATTGACCATCGTCGTGAAGGGTACCATCACAGGCAACGACGTGGTGGACGTGGCGGCCGACAAGACGGTCTTGGGTGCAGACAACAAGGCAGTCCTGGAGGGTGTGGGGCTTCAGATCAAGGACGTCAAGAATGTCATCATCCGCAATTTGACGGTGAGGAAGGTGCTCGCAGCCACCGGGGATGCCATCGGGATTCAGAAGAGTAGTAATGTTTGGATCGATCATGTCGACTTGAGTTCTGACCAGGATCACGACAAGGTTCGTTTCTCCCCCCAACTCCTGCTTTCGGGGGTGAGTGGTGTTAATGGGAGAGGTGATTTCTGGTATAGGACTTCTACGACGGTCTCCTGGACGTCACGCACGCATGCGACTACATCACGCTTTCAAACAACCACCTTCACGACCATTGGAAGGCCTCGCTCGTCGGCCACTCCGACACCAACGGGTCCGAGGACAAGGGCCACCTGACCGTCACTTACGTCGGCAACTTCTTCCAGAATCTCAATTCTCGTGGTCCCTCGTTCCGCTTCGGCACGGGCCACATCTTCAACAATTACTATGAGAACGTCTCCGACGGCATCAACACCCGCCAGGGCGCTCAGTTGCTCGTTGAGAACAACGTCTTCGTCGGCTCGGGCAATCCGCTCTACTCCACCGATGCTGGGTACGCCGTTGCCAACGGTAATGACTTTGGCGATGGGGAGAACACTGCCCCCGCTGGCACGCTCAAGAGCATGCCCTACGAATATAGCCCAGTTGCTGTTGGCAGTGTAAAGAGTTCGGTTGTTGGGACTGCAGGTGCTACTTTGACTTTCTGAGCGACGGCGGTGGACTGGATGATTGGATCGGAGAAGAGGGGGGGGGGTATTAAGGACATTTCTCCCTGGATGGGGGGGGAGTGCGACATACTGTATATCTTAACTCTAGTTGTATTTAAAATCGACGGCTCAACTTTCCAATAATCCATCTTCTCGTGACCCAATAGGCGAGTGATTGAGTGTGATCAGAAGAACGGTGATTCAAGCATCATGTCACACTTGTCACAGCCGAAAACAGGCGTTAAAGAAATATATGGTTTATAAAAAAAAAACTACTCTTATCTGAGCGCTAACACAAGGTGTGCCCCTCCTGTATACTTTATAACCCAGAAACGCCTGTTCCGTCGAAATGGTCTATCTACTTTCTATCGAGTGAGAGCTTTGTTACCACAGGACCCATCACTCAGAGTTTCGAGGGGAGGTTACTCTGCACTTCCGCCTCTTTCCCCTTCTGTTCCGGAACAACCGTGAGTAGCCTTCCCCTGTTCAAGGCAGAGCGGATGTTGTCGATGACCAAAACCTCCATATTTTTCTAACCCATCCTAATTAGCTCCCGGGGTATTTCGAGGAATGAGGGGTAGCTTGCCTGCGTCTCAACGGTAAAAGTCCCAATGTGCGGAAACAGCACCGCATCCTCCCTCCCAGTAAGCCCCTCATGAATTTTTGGCTCCTCCTCGTAAACATCTAACCCCACGCTCCCCAGATGACCAGCCTCGAGCACTTCCGCCAATGCCGCCTCGTCAATGACCGCCCCGCGCGCAGTATTGACCAGCACTGCACCCTTCTTCAACCCCAGCAACTCCTTCTTCCCAAGATAATGCCTCGTCGCCTCCGCCAACGGCAGGTGAATGCTCAGGACATCGCACCTGCCCAAGAACTGCGCGAGGTCCGCCACGTACTCTGCCCCGGCGGGGTTGTACGCCGCCTCTCGCCTGTTGTGGTATATCAACCTCATGCCGAAGGCCTTGGCGCGGGTGGACAGGGCCACGCCGATCCCACCCAAGCCGAGGATGCCGAGGACTTTGCCGTCCGGGTCGTGGCCGAGGGGGAGTTGACCGCGCCAGGTGCCATTGCGGAGAGAGGTCTCGGCGATGTACGTCTTGCGCAGGGCTTGCAGGATCAGCATCATTGCGACGTTAGCTGTGGCGTTGTTGACGGCTCCTGGGGTGTGGGCTACGAGGATACCTGGAGAAGGGTCAGCAGGACGGGCCAATGGGGGGAGTGAGCGAGGGTGGAGTGAAATACCGCGAGCTGTACACGGCTCAATGTCAATCTGATCGTATCCGGCCCCATTATGGCAGAGGAATTTCACGCTAGAGGGTAGTTGAGAGACAAAGTCGTTGTCGAAGCGGCCGGTGATCTATCCTCCTTAGCTTAAGCAGCAATACAGGGTTCATGAAGGTCTCACTTTAGCAGAATCATAGGTTCTGTAAATCGCTACAACACCATCGTATTTCCCATCCTTAAAATCCTGCATCACAGACTCCCTTGTGCCAGAAACGATTTCCTAACCGAGACCCCCGTCAGAAACCTCTCCAGCAAGAAAGACATGAGGAAGACAAAAGGGGGAAGGGAAGCAAACCCTGAGCTCCGCTATTTCGGACAGAGATTCCCATTCCTTGCGAGCATGGTCGATTCTGCCGAGGAGAAGAGCAGTTGGACGAGGCATTGCGATGTTGATAATGACGATGAAGGGTGAAAGAGAGGGGTATGGTGAAGTATTAAAAGGGTAGCAAACTCTGGCACGATCCAGCCTTGGCGGGGGGGGGGGGGTTCAAAAGTATACTTAATTTATCCAATGGCAAGTTGCCCCGCACGTCATTAATTTTTAGACTAAATGGATTGCCGGGCCTCTGCACTCTACAAGCCATTACATAAAGAAGAGTATGGCATTGCATCTTCATCCAGTTTCAGAATTCCGGTTGGGTGGTGTTACTATACTCCTTCGACTGGGTCTCGTGCCTCTACCACCCGAATCGCTTTCCGTGTGCATATGTGGGGGTGATACACTCACGACTTCTTACTCCTTTCGGAACTCCCTGTCGTCACATCGCCTGTTTTTGAGCCTCAACGCTCGTTGGTCTGGCGGTGCTACGTGGGAGGGATGGAACTTGGGAGAGTTTGTTCATATTGAGTATTTGGCACTGCTCTTAGAAGAGCAAGCACTTCTTAATAACGAATACAGCAATAGGTACCGCCAAAAGGCACAACACTATTACTAGTAGCCGAGTTGCCCTTCAAACGTCCTGTTTCCAATCCGGAAAGCCAAAGTTGACGGGCCATGGAGGTGTCACAAACCTAAGATTCAAGTTAGCCTGCTCATTCAATTGCTCGAACAGGGTGGCCCCAAATACCTTTTTGTTCCTTTCTCCTTATGGATATTATTCAGGGCTTTCATATCCTTGGTGCCAAGCTTCAAGAGCTGGCTGTTTTCCTCGATCCTGCTGGGGGTGACCGACTTTGCCAACACGACATTCCCACGGTTGACTGCATTCACCAATTAGTAGGGCTCTAATCGAGCAAAGGAATGATTGGGTTACTATGGTAGTTCAATAGAACTGTGCCAACAGCAACATTGTGCTTCTTGGCAATCTTAATGATGGATTCCTCCTCGAGTAGAGGTCCACCGGCAGAGCCAAGAGGAGAGTATGCGGTGATGGTAATTCCATTTTCCTTGCAGAAGTCGACAACGTCATGCTGCGGGAGTAACGGGTGGTTCTCAATTTGGTTAACCGCAGGGACAATAGTGGTTTGCGCGAGAAGGCTCTTTAGGAACGGAACTGAGAAGTTGGAAACGCCAATTGCCTGCGAAAAGTGTTGGCCCCGGTGAAGCATGAATGAAAGGGGGGGATCAAACCTTGACTTTTCCAGTTGACAATAGCTTTTCCATTTCTTTGTACGTCTTAATATAGTTCCAATCAGTCTGCAGATCCCTCGATCCATCCGCCAACTTCGGGAATTTGTCGTGGTTGCCTGGATGTCCCGTTTCGTTAGTATCCTGAGGAGCTCCCAAAGGAATGAGCGGGTGCTTGCCATTAGGGTTCAAAGGAACGGGCCAGTGCATAAGGAACAAGTCAACGTAGTCTAGACCGAGACTCTTCAAACTCTTGTCAAGACCCAATTCAACCCGGGAGTGGTAGGTCGACCACAGTTTTGTGGTGACGAAAATATCCTCCCTCCTCACACCACCCTTGAAAGCTTCGGCGAGACCAGCTCCGACCTCATATTCGTTGCCGTAACAGTAGGCTGCATCAATGTGTTTGTAGCCACCCTTCAGAAGTGCGTGGGACACTGCTGCCTGAACTTCGCCGGGAGCCGATTGCCAGGTTCCTAAGAGAATAACGGCTCAGCACTTTGGACAAAAAGTTAAGATGGTGGGGGACAGCTACCCAGCCCAATCGAAGGGATCTCAGCCCCTGTATTTAGCTTAAAAGTGGTTGGAACCGACATTGTTGGATGAATGAGAAAGACGATCAGGTGTAATGAGGAAATTAAGGGGGAGAGCGAGATGGTAGTTTTTTTCTGGAAGGCGTTCGGAGAGAAGGAAGCCAGGGCATAGAAGCCTTTTTAAACTCGGAGGAGGCACCCCTACGGGTACAGCCGCGTCCGCAAGAGTCCCATACGCCTCCAAGCACTACCAGGCCTTGGAAACGCTTCGCCAGCCCTCCATTTCCATTACCGTATTCAGCGAGAAGCGGATCGTGATAAATGCTTGCAATGTCCCTAGGGGCGTATCTGAAAAGAGTCATTTGGGAGGCTCCCGTTCCGCCGTCGGTATTGTTCTTAGGGTACGGCGGCACAGGGCTGCCGGTGTCAATACCCAGCTGGGTTCCCCCACTTCCGTCGTCCCGCGTTAAATTATCGCTGGGACTTTCGGGTAAGAAGCGGCTGAGATGAAACTCACAATTTCGTCAAAAACAGTGCCCTAAAGGGTTTAGTTCCGGCCATTCAAGGTTAGGTTGCGGCGTTTTATCGCCATCCCGGGACAAGAAACCATAGGGATCTTTGAAAGTACTGGCTCCTGACGGTTCTCGCCAGATAGCGTGGCATTAAACAGGTACTGTACATATCCTGAGCGGGACATTTAGAGGTTGTTTTTATTTTTATCTTCCCTCCGAGAATCTGCAGAGAAGAGCATCATGTTTCGGGCATGCCAATTGGCGATGGGGGAAGCGGGAGATGCTGGGGGGGGGGGGGGGTAAATTGTAGCTGTTGGCTGGACAGCTCCACAGTAGCTTATCGCATCGGAAATTCTCACATACCACACAATACCTCACATTTACCCCTGTTCAAGTAAATTTGAATTCCCTAATGAATTGCACAAGTACCGTTGGATGTGATGGCTGGTGGGCTGGCATCTGAACCCCCCTTACCGAGTCATTGGGAAAAAAATAAAATTATTGATATTAGGCCAGTGGCTGATTCTCCCCCGCAGGGGACTTCTGCCATCGCTTTGAATGTTTGGTTCTTCGACCATTTTACGGGCAGAATCGGCTTCGTCTAAGCCAGGGTCTCCTACGGGTTCAAGATGTGTCTTCAGGTTCGCCTTCGGAAGAATCACTCCCACGGAATACCCGCCGTGAACAACTGCAAACCGCTGGACCGTGTCATAAACGAGCCTGCACGAATACCGGGCCGGTCTCCAGGACAGAGAAGGCTACTCTAGAATGAGGTATGATATGTCGAAATATTCCTCACGATCGACCACTCGAGATTGAAAGGCTTTAAGGTTTTCCGATTTTGAGAGGGAAATCGCCGTGTTAAGCGTTCACTACCGAGGGCGGAGCGCTCTTAGGTGGGAAAACGCGAGGCCCCCGAGGGCAAAACCCGCCCCACTCCGCCCCATAACGAACACTATTCACAGAAGGTGGGAAACCCAGCAATTCTGCCCCCAGATGTCTTGCAACTTAAAGTGCCATTCTCCCATAATACCACAAACGTTAGATACATGTTCCAAACACTAGAAACCCATTTTCCCTAAAAACAGAAAGTACTTCTTCCGCTGCGTGGAAGTAAAAACAAGAAAACACATGACTAAACTCTGAAGAGGGGAGGGGGCAAGCGATATTGCGGATAGGGGGAACAGAAAAGGATGTAACTGGGGAGGAGGAGCAGTACTATAATAGTTAGAGAGTGAAGGAGGAGAGAGTACGGAAGCAAAAACAAGAAAATACATAACTAAACTATAGGGAGGGGAGGGGGCTAGCAGTATTGTGGAAGAGGGAGACAGAAAATAATGTAACTGGAGGAGGGGGGGGGGGGGGGGGGCAGGGCAACAGGGGTCAAGAATTGACGGGATGGAAAGCGTATGGATAGCATGGCTAAATAGCGGGCATACCATCGCTATTAGAGAAACTGCTCGAAAATATATGAAGCCATTACCGAAAGCTCCTAGAGAGATATCAAAAGATCAGTGGCATGCGGATGTCGTTCATCAAAAACCGTATCATAAGGCACAAGTAGTCCATTGGAGGTCGGTATAAAAGTAACATGACCATTGGCCATAATAAGAAATGCTTGCACTTTGCCAGGTAACTGGTCGTGTTGACTTCGAGTCTCTGGACGAGAAGTGCTCGGTGTCATCGCCCATGTTTCCACTTCAAGGGTGTGGTCTCATTTATCTAGTCTAACGATGAGTACCATCTTAGTCTTTCCTAACGAACTAACAAGCCACCATTGAGCATCGAGGCGGAGCTCCACCAATGTTTCCGAATATCCAGCTTCTATCACAAGTGATGAAAACTCTTTCCTCTGGCATGTCCGAGGCCGAAAAGAGTGATCCCCCTCCTTACTCCGACAACTGGGGCCCTGGAATCTGCTGTCTACTAAGCTCGAAAGGCTGTACTGGTCGTGTTGCGGAATTGCCAAAACCTTTGAGAAAACCATCTGGGTAAAGGTGCTAACAACACCCCCGTGAGCAATTCCAGGCATTAACTTGATAATTAGCGACCCTAAGGAGGGATTGTACATGCAGTGGGCCCGCTTCCGTACCGCGCGGCGTTGTAGGGCTTGGTCAACTTTATCTTCTATATCCTTAGGTAAACCCGTCACTTGTAAATAGCAACCCCTGTTTTGCCGGAGACACTCCTTCACAATCCGTTCCATGCGGTTGGCCAAAATATTGCCGTGGTAAAGATATATTCATCTTGATCCCGGATAATGGAAGCGAGATTTTGGAAAACCTTCGTAGCCTGAATACCGTAGGGTTCTAAATCAAATTGGATATTATCACATAAGGAGTGGATACTGGTTCTTCCTAAAGCGAAGGCTGTAGAGCCGCTGCTGTGCATTGACCCAATGCTCTCTGAAGTTGTTCTAGTCTTTCTGTGATGGCCCACAACTCTCCATGAAACCCGATCATAGGTGGCAAGAGAATCATCGCCGGAGAGTCTGGCCATTGGTGTAATATCTAGAAGACGCTGGTCAGTTCAAGTTATGGCTATAAAGGGACCAGTATCGTAAAACTTGAACCAACTGACATGAGACCAGAAAGGAGTATTACGAAGACTTTGGGTGCTATTTAGAAAGCAGTCCCATGAACCTCCAAGAGAGGTATTGGAAAAAGGGTATGTAGAAAGGGGGTGAGAGACGGAAGGGGGAGGTGAGGGGAATAATAGAGGACCACAGGCGTCAGACATGGAAGCCCAGTTGGAGGAAATGAGAGGAGGACAGCAGATGTAGTGTTCGTTACGGGGTGGGTTTCTGCAAGTTCTCCCCGCCCTGTTATGGCCACGGGGCGCCTCCAGACTCCCCCCTCCCCGCCCCGCCCCCGAACGGGGGCCACCGGGCGACCCCAATTGTGCTCCCAGCCATATAATTCGGTGGGAGCAGTAGCGGGGCCCCATACAGGGGGTAGCCAGGGCGGGGGGCCGTATCGGGCCGGGGGGGAATGGAGGAGAAAATAGGCCCCACCCCGGGCCAAACGCCGGGGCGGGGCGGGGTGGGGAACGGGGGCAGGGGCCCGCAGTTTTCGGGGCCCCGGAGGCCCCGTAACGAACTCTAAGCAGATGAGAGGAGGACGGTGGATAAGATGATGATGGCAGATGAGTAGAGGATTAAAATGACTGTCATGTCATCGTATCCCTAGCAGTATTGTGGACACATGTCCATAGCCATGATAGTTGCCAGAATAAATCTGGTAGTCTGATATGGTACGTAGCTCTGACAGCGATATATACTTACTCTAGCTCATTTTGGATGCCGGTCAGGATCTAAACATCAACCCGAATGAAGTGGACTGGAGAGAAGGTTGCTTCTCAACTCACTGGAGATTGGGGCTTTGTTGGACGATATTGGATGCTCGGTAATTTTGACTAAACAAAGGATCTCATGTGATATCTCGAAGCATACGCTATCGTAGTTCGAAATGCTGAACTGGATAGTCTACCGGTACCGGCGGTGTAACGTGGAATCATCGCTCTAAAATAGGCGCCGCGCGGTTTCTATGCCAGAAGGAAAGAGCTCTCATGAGTGCCCGTAGTTGGACGGGGTTTGTGAACGGAGCCGCTCTTGCATCAAACTCGATCTGGGAAAGAAAGCTGAATTTTGGCGGTATCGATGGCTGCGGGTACAGTGTTGTTCCCGACCACACAAGCCACCGGGGGGTCAGCACATCATGCGCTGTATGAACCTGGATGCTCCTTGCACCAGCATGTCCGATGGATTGCCTGCCTTGATGACAAACCGCGTATCGGTAATGGTTCCGATAGTACCGTATTTACTCATGCAATCCACTATCTCCGGCGTGACTCCAATCTCCAGACCCTGAATCAAAAGCTCTTGAGAAGGTTTAGTTGGGTGAGTTACAAGTAACATATTATGGCTGCGAATGTACCGTAGGTTAATGAGATCCAACACTCCAGGACGCGGATCTTATACCGTGTCGGGAAAATGCTAATCCCCCTCAAGAGTTATTAGGTCGGGATCTGGAGATTAGAGGCATGCCGGATATAGTGGATTTCACGAGTAAATACGGCACTGTATGTACCGGTCATCGATGTTGTGTGGCTGTTCCCGGAAGCGGTAGCTGGCACCGAAATACCCATCTCGGGCAGCGTCGGGAGACAGGATATGGGGCTGCGGCGTGATCTCACGCTGGTATGATAGTGCTTAATAAACCCATACTCGCGAGGCCGCGCCTCAGCAGTTGATACTGCCGCTCCAGCACTCCCTAATCACAGCTGCCGAAACGATGCAGAATTAGCAAAACAGTCATCACCAGTGCCTACTTGTACCACATGGGCCCACGCCAGGTACCAGGGGGAGAGAGTTGCAGTGCTCCGCACCGCTCCATTTATGGGAGAAAGCGATACAATACCAGTAACAAACCGTGGGCTATTTGTGCGAAAGGATACCACAACGCGCAAGCTGCTGTGCCCAGACTCTTTTTATATCTCCAAAAGCCCCGAGACCCCTCCGACACCCTTCCCCTTCCCTCCTCTTCCTTCCTGCACGCCCCGTCCATCCCTTGGGCTGTCGTGCGCCGCGCCCACGAGAGCTTGTTCACGGGAATAGCGGGGCCTGGAGGGCTACATTGCCGTATCCTTCCTTAGTGGGTGGCGGATTACTAGAGTTTCAAACCGAGACCGCGTTCCATCGGTCTCTTGGACGCAGTGACAGGGTGCGGTGGACTACCGGTAGGGGATACCGTGTCGTAACCGCATGATACGTGACCGACCGTTACGCCCCCTGTGGAGGCTGAATGCCTTCCAAGGGGTATCGGATAAACCTTTTTCCATCCTTACTCGTAAGCCTCACCTTGGCGGGGTCTATTCTTGGTCAAAACACCATCATAACCAGGGTCTTTAAACCCCTGATACCATGGTGCCGTACCATACTTGCACCGATGCTCGAGTACGAACCTCGTGCGCTACCGCACCGATTTCCCCATACTTGTGGGGAACGGGAAACAGGAGGAAGAGACAAGCGAGTGCCAGCCCAGCCGTCTACTCGTAATCAACAACCTTGAAACTGGTGCCGGGATCATGTAACCGCTGTCGCTTCACGCCAAACCCCCACCCCGATTAGAGCGGGCTCTAAACAGCCTGCGGTCCAAAACATCTCTGCGACGAACGCCTTTTCAGGGACGTTTCACTCATGGACGGCCGTGTGTACGTATGTATCTACCGGTGTGTGCGTTCTCGGGGGCTGTGGTTGTGGGCGTGTACCCGTATATATCAGTCGGGTCTCGCTCTGCGCAGCAACGATAAAGTACTCTAAAGCTTTTGGGGCCCGTTTTTATTCCTCTATACAAACGAACGAGCGAGCACCTCTTCTTCTCGACAGCCCGGATTTGGCCCTTTTTTTTTAATCCATATTTCCTAGTCCGTTTTGGTGTACTGGTAGTATAGTGCATCGACAAAATGATTCCCTCGGTAGTCCTCTCAACCTTGCTACTCACGTGGGCCGTGTGGGCGCAAATCCCGGAGCAATTCACTGGCGGTTTCGACAATGGCACAATCTCCTTGGTGGTAAGCTACGGCGCGAACGAAGTCAGGGACGGTGAAAAACTCGGCCTGGATGGTACGATACCTCTCACCTCCCCTTATTCCTCCCTACCGTACTAACCCAACCCTCTCCCAGCTGTACAATCCGCCCCAAGTCTCGCCCTCGGAGACTCCAGCAGCCTGAATTCCAACTCCCGGTACATCGTGATAATGATAGACCCGGACGCGCCATCCCGCGACAATCCCACAGCCGCGAACGTCCTGCACTGGGTAAAGACGGACTTACGGATAAGCCCCTCCACAGCCACCAACATCACGGCCGATAACGCCACCGCCCCCCTCTCATACGTGCCGCCATCACCGCCACAGGGTAGTGGTGAGCACCGGTATATCTTCCTGCTGTACGACCAGCCGCGTAGGGCTGGCTTTGCGCTGCAGGGATTGCCGGAGAGGAGGCCCGAGTTTAATGTATCCGCGTGGAGGGAGTCGAATGGCTTGGCGCCGGCAAGGGCGGGGACGTTCTTTTTGGCCGAGTTTGGGGGTTTGTTTTTCCCCTCCCCCCTTTTAACCTGTAGTGTTGTGTTTGGAGGGGGGGGCTAATTTTTTTTGGATAGGGAATTCAAATTCGTCCGCGACAAGGACGAGCGGCGGCCCGAGTGCTACCGGGAGTTCCGGGAATGGTGAGGTTTCCACCGGGGGCGGGGGTGGAGCCTCGACGACGGGCGCGAGTGGAAATGGGACCGGGGCTGGCTCTCAGAATGCTGCTGGGAGGGTTGGGGTGAGTGGGTACGGGACTATCATGGCTTGCTGGGTTTCGGCGGCGGTGTTGGGCGGTTTCTTTATGGGGATGTAAGATATCACTTTGTTGGGCGTTCTCTCTCTCTCTCTCTCTTTTATATATATAAAAGAATATCTTGAATGGTGAATCAACCAACCGACTTCGTTGCAATTTCCTAGGCTACCTAAAGACGAAAAGGAGATGGAGCTTGGATATCAACCAAGGAGAAGGAAAAAAGAAAAAACACTTAATGGAACTTTCCTCCATTCTTGACATGGATCATGTGGATATCGTCGACTCCCTTCTTCAAGTGCCCAACAGCGGTCTGACCAATCTCGCTGGCACGCCAGTCGGCATGAGCCTTCACGCTATCCCACCCAATGAGCAACAAGTAATCCCTGGGATTCTCGACAACCCATCCAGCCGAATGCCACCTATACCCCTCCCCCTTCAACCCCTTCTCGAACTCCTTGAAGTTTGCCAGGAATTCCTCCCTGGTGGTGCCCTCCGAGAGCGTGATGGTGCACCACTCGCTGACGGGTGCCTCGTCGATCTGCGGGTTGTCGGGGTGGAGCTCGGCGTGCACGATCTTGGTGCCGTCCCTGGCGGCCCACTTGATCTTCCCGACGAAGGGCTTGTAGCCCTCGGACTGGGTGAAGGCGACGTGGTCCGAGAGTTTGTTCCAGCTGATGTGCTGAGATCGTTAGCCTTGTTGCGATAATTTGCGGCGGGAAGCGGGGGGTACTCATCACCCAGTGGAGCTTTGTCTGGTCCTCATGCTGAAGGCCCCAGTAGCCGGAGCGTGGGGGGTTCTCGAACACAGATTCGGAGAGGAGGGTCTCCTGTCCCTCGTACGACTCCCCGTTGAGGGTCAAGGTGACGAATTCGGTGACGGGACCGGTAGAGGTGCTTGCTGCCATATCTGCTTGATTGCTTGCTTGCTTGTCTGTCTGTCTGTCTGAACCGAGTTTGTTTTAAAGTTTTTTCGCGATGGAAGTGAGGAAGTGCGATGAGGATGATGAGAATGGATAGCTGGAGAGATTGCGGGGGCGCTCGATAGACCGTATGAGGGCTCAGCGAGGCGACACCCTCAGCAAGGCTTGGCGATATTTGGCAGCAAAGATTGCCTACGGTCAACGACAGTAGGGAGCCAAGCCGTGCCGCGCCTCGCCGAGGGTGTCGCCTCGCTGAGCCCTCACACGGTCTATTTGTATGCAGATGGCTGGCCCCCCTCTCCAGCCCTCTCTCGGTTAACGCCAAGACGGAATGATCCGACCGTTAGCACCCCCAGGTATCATACGGTACTCGTACAACGGTACACTGCACGAGATCAGTACCGGTACTCGAGTACATGCACCTGCGTGTATCATACCTGGTCCGCATCGCCGGAACAATTGCCGAGATCGCATCCTGCCTGAACGGATAAATTGGTGCCAGCCAGCCGATTCGAGTAAATCCTCCGCTGGTTTCCTCTTCCCGGGTCGGAAGCGTTCATCGCCCGGGTCAGCGTCGGCAAGACCCTGACTGACTTGGCCATTCCATTCCATTATACGAGTGCAGTGCCCCTTTCACGCCAGGTAAAGTACAATACCGGTACCGCACTATGTGATTGTTAGCATTATACCTATCACATCATACGGTACAGCACTCCACCCCTCAAGCCAGGGTTTCTGTGGGGTTCGGAATACAGCACTCGCCTCTCCGCGCCAAGTATTCGCTTCTTCCGATTTAGAATAGCGGCTTCTGATTTGTTATAACGAAGTGCACTCGTATAATATCGTACTCGTGTACCGGTATATTGCTGAAGCTAGTGTATAGGCAGACAGCTATGATAATTCACCTATCATACTCCACAGAGAGAGAGAGAAAAACAACCATCTCGTTCCTTGACCACAAGCATCATACCATAGCAATCTCTTTTCAACCACGGGGACTAAATGCGTCTAATATGATATGATACAGACTCGAACTTGTAGTCTTACACAAGAGTTCACGCGAGAACGCCGAAAGTCCTTAGACTAAGCTACCCATCATACCTACACTCACTCCGCTCCGTGCGTATCATAACACCGCCCCTTACGAGTATCGTACCGGCACACACACGAGCTCTGTCTACCCATCACTGTCAACAACGTATGATATGAGCCGTCGTCTAATACCGTATATCACGTGCCACACACACACTCACTCAGTCTCTCTCTGTCTTACTGGAAACTGGCACGGCACGGTATGGTATAATATAGCACCTTGACTCAGTCCTTCAAAAAAAAAGGGGGGGAGAGGAAAAGACAAAACAAACAAACAAACAGCCAGAACCACCATACTATATTATTTCCGTGTCTGCTGCAGACAATTCCAAATCCGGTGCTGATACTTAATTCTAGCGCGGGTGCGGTACGGACGGATGAAGGGATGATGGAGTTGGACGGAACCGCCAACTGCCGAGTACGCGGTTGGACGAACGGACTATTCCCGGTGCCGGTGGGTGGATGTGCTCTCTTGCCTGATGCCGGTGGAGTGGATGAGTGAGTGAGTGAGTGAGTGAGTGGGATGTTGTTGCAGACGTAGGTTACGGTACTGCGGGCTTTTGTTGGTGGGTTGTGCTGTGCTTCGCTTTCGCAAATCGGCTCCGGCGGAGCTAGACGCTGCAGGCTGCGTGGGCGCGCATAAACGTAATTAATTGTAGTGTTACGAGTGCTATATAGTATCTTTGGTGGAGCGTCTGCAGTAATATAACCGTTTAATCAATTTTTACTCGTAAACCCGGCGGAAGGTTCATGTTATCTAGTGGACCTGCTAACAATTAGATACTAACGGTGGAATATTCCAGTAAACCCCTGCGGAATTGATCACCCCGCGCCTCAAAAGATTCCAAGTTCGAATCTTGCACTAATTGAGGTTTTCTGTATATTTATTTTTGTGTCCCCTATCATTAGTAAATCAAAAATACAAAACCAAACACTTGCAAGGATCCTAATGCAGATTCGAGGGCCGCAGCAGTTTCCGGATTCCGGAGCACATTCGAGTGACTGTTTGTGAGCGGGTGGGAAGGCTGGAGGCTCGGGTAGATATTTGGTTCCTTCCGGGGTGCTCGCAGCTAAACTCAGTTAAAAGAGGAAAAGTTTGACCCACGTGAAGCTGCCGCTATCCGCTGTCCTCAGGTGGGCCTTCTCCGAGTAGTAGTGCTGGCTATGCATCTGCTCTCTGGAATTCACCGTTCGGCTCGTTCGTCCCTGCACTCCTCGAAGCTAGAACATCCATACCGCGGTGCCCATGCACGGGACGCCTCCGAGGGGAATTGGCTTGGGGATCTGGCTGGGAGCTGGGCCGGCGGTCGGGTGAGGTTTTACGAACCGCTGTCTGATGCAATGGGGAGAACACAAATTGCTGTTGGGATATTCGAAGTGGCGTGGTGCGAGAAAGTGTGCTTTGCGGTGCTGGGATTAGCCATCTTTTGTGGCAGCGGTGATTGAGTAAATATCTTCGATAGCGGATAGGTACCCTGTGGAACGGTGGAAGCGCTGCCTATATCACCTATACCGGTGCCGCAAAAACTCGGGAAATCCACTATGATCTCTTCATAGCACTCACGGTGGCTTTGGTTTGGTGGGTTGGTGGAGTCGCCAATACTAGTTAATGAGATCCATCGCCCACCGAGGGCCGATCCTACACCGCTTTAGGAAAACGCTGATCCTCTCTATGTGGAATGCGTAAGTTACAGATGGGCCGACTAGCATCACGGATATTTCTCACAAATGCTTTGTGTGATGCAGTACCGGTAATTCATCGCCTTCAATCGCCACTACGAAAAGCTTGCACGCTATGGTTGGTAATATAATCATATATAATTATATTTGTTATGCTAAGAACAGGCTATCTCAAGGAACGTAATAATATCAAAGCCCACGCTAAAGACTAAAATTAGACTGTAGAAAGGAAAGAAATAGTAATTAAGGGGAGACAAAAGAAAAAACCGGAAATGCAAAGCATGTTAAGGAAAGAACTAGATCGGTGCGAATGCTCAGCCTCTCTAGAACCTAAGCTTGGCAAAGCGCTTCCTAAGAGGGGTTCGCGTGCGTCCTGGATCCTGAGAAATGCTAGTGTTGCTGATGACCGATGGTGCTTCCTCACTCTTGACGAGGTAGGTCTCGTTGTACTGAAGACCTCCGTCTCGTTGGTAGGTAATGTCGTAGTGAGTCTCTTCTTTCCTCCACTTAGGCAGTTCACGATAGTCATCTGGGTACTCGACGACCGAACTGGAGACACCGACTTTGATGGACTTGAGGGACTTGATGGGTACGGAGCGGTCGCCCTATTTCATGTCAATTAGTCAGAGTCTATCGGAAGGGGTGTGTGTAGGGACGAACCTGTTGAACAACCCATTTAAGGTTCTTGCGCAGGTAGGGCACGCAGGAGGTTGGGTCAAGGTCGACATTTTTAGCGATGAGGGCTTCAGTCAGGGGCACGGAGCCTCGGATGACATGCTCCTTTCGGGATTTCTCGTCACCGAAAGTCGAGCAGTCGCCAACGTGATCCGGTGCAGTTTGCCATGAGCCAGTTGATTGCGGAATGTCGCCAATGAAGACCAGGAGAGAGTATTTGTCGTCGAGATCACCTTGATCCATTTGGACGTGGGCGATCCATTCGCGGCGGTACCTGTAGGGGCTATTGCCCGAGCCAGTTCCCGAGCCAGTTCCCGAGCCAGTTCCCGAGCCAGTTCCCGAGCCAGTTCCCGAGCCAGTTCCCGAGCCAGTTCCCGAGCCAGTTCCTGAGTCAGTGCCATTGCCAGTCCCCGAGCCGGTGCCTGAACCAGTGCCAGTTCCCGAGCCGGTGCCTGAGCCAGTGCCAGTTCCCGAGCCGGTGCCTGAGCCAGTGCCTGAGCCAGTGCCATTGCCAGCTCCAGTGCCTGGATTTGGACCAGTACCACCACCACCGCCCAAGGAAGGCCTATAAAGCTCATTGACCCTAGCCGTGACAAAAGTTGTCAAATCCTGAGGAGGCCTGGTCCTGTACTCAGTCGGAATCTCAGGGTAGGTATAACCGTAATTCATGATGCTAACAGCAGAGCTGGTATCTGCAGAGGTCCAATCGCTGCCATCGGGGTGACGGAATGGTCGCAGCGGGGTATTGACATCGTCACGATCGCCTGGGCGGACAATTCTTCCAAAGGTGCCAGCAGCTGGACCGGGTTGAACATATTCGTTCGGCCAGACAGCTTGGTACATTGCGATAAGACGGTCGACGTTGCAGTGACTATTACTGCATGTTAATATATGCTAGTAGTGAGGGCACTGGAAACTCACTGCAGCCAGAAGACTGGGTCGAATGCGGCATAATCGACATAGGACATATGACCAGTTGAACCGCCAAGGTGCGCTAAGAAAGTTGTTAGAATCTATTTTGGGGTAGTTAAGTAGATAATTTATCCAAGGGATTACCGTGAATGTTATTGTGGATCGATTCAACGCTAACCCAGTTACTCGGGGCTGAAGCACCACCGCCTGAGGCCGCAGCAAATTCTCCGAAGGTGGGGATGGAGAACAAATTATAGGTATTGGCACGACGACTAATATTTCGTTCTTGTTAGTAAAGGTTTGGAGAGGTACTACTGATATACTCACGCTTCGTAGGTGTTAGTCATCTCGCTCTCTGCGAGTTCGTTGCGAGAATTGAAAGAGCCATCGGGTTGACGGCAGGTTTGCGGGATTGTCTGGAAAACACCCTCGAAGTATCTCTGTCTGTTCAGATCGTCGGTGAACCTGTAAGCGTACAGGGGGTTGGGGATGACGGTAGTCTGTGCGGCTCCGCCAGCGTCCGGCTGAACGACCGTGACTCCTTGCGAAGTTATGGCGGTTGGGAGCCGCGATCTGGTAACTTGTGAAGACCAGTCCCAATATCTGTGATGGTGATTAGCTTAACCCCGATTTCACTCTAAAGAAGCTAGGATAACTCACGGTAGGCGCACTCTGTCAGCAGCTTCACGATACCTCTGCGCATCTGAGCCAGTGAATCTTCCTGCAATTCTGATTGCATGGTCGCAAAGAATTTGCTAAATCCTAGTCAGCATATTTATTAAAACACGGGAATGCTTGTAATAACTCATACCTCGATTAGAATGAGGTAGGGCCGATGCCATGTAGCGAACAGAGCGTTTCCATGTGTGCAGTACCCACGATTAGGATCCATGGTATTAGGATCGAACTGGCTCTGCCATGGAACGTATGGGCGGCCGTGGATACCACTGACTTGGTAGTAGCTTAGGTCGCGGTTCTCATCATCTGCCTGCATGGCCGCCAAAGCCAGGATGAACATGTTGTAGACATCAGGGGAACCCGTTTCCATATCCTCAATAGCCATACGTGGCTGCAAGTTGGGTGGACCAGTGACGGGAGTAAAGCTGCCAGATTGTCTGGGAACGATAGTCTTGGTTTGTGAAGCCCTTGCACTTGATTGAGATGGTTTATACGACTTATAAGTGGTAGATGGCTTGTAATCGTCATATGGCTTGTAGTCGGACGGATAAGGCTTGTATGGGTCGGTCGTCTTGTAGCTGTTGTAGGACTTGTAACCGTCATAAGACTTGTGACCGTGGTGCGGCTTGTAGTCGTCGTCATACGGCTTGTAGTCGTCGTCATACGGCTTGTAGTCGTCGTCATAAGGCTTGTAGTCGTCGTCGTACGGCTTATAATCGTCGTATGGCTTATAGTCGGACGGATAAGGCTTGTATGGGTCGGTTGTCTTGTAGCTGTTGTAGGACTTGTAGCCGTCGTAGGACTTGTGACCGTCGTAGGACTTGTGACCGTCGTATGGCTTATAGTCGTCGTAT